GCAATAAATTGATTAAAAGTGACAGTAAACACATTTATAATGTTACAAAAGATTTCCGTTTCAAATAAATTATTCTTAAGAATTAAAAAAATTATTTAAAAAATCCTTAAAAAAGGTATCATGGTTTCCATAAAAATATGAAACTGTTTTTAACATTGATAACAATAAAAAATGTGTCTTGAGCAGCAAATCGGCATATTAGGATGATTTCTGAAGGATCATGTTATGTGAAAATTCAGCTTTGCATCACAGGAATAATAAAATATATTCAAATAGAAAGCAGTTATTTAAAATTGTAATAATATTTTACAATATTACAATTTTTACTGCATTTTTGATCAAATAAATGCAGCCTTGGTGAGAAAAAGATACTTCTTTAAAAAAGATAAAAAAATTGAATGACTCCAAACTTTTGACCACTGGTTGTGTATTTACATTTATGCATTTGGCATGTGCTTTTATCCACAGTGCATTCAAGGTATGCATTTGATCAGTTAATTCATTCCCTATGCCATAAAATATAATCATTATATTTCAATCAGAATGTGAAAATGAAGTGGCTGTTTTTATGCACTTAGTCAGAAATCTGTCAGAGCATGCAAGTATTTGAGAGTGGATGCCGAGAAGAGCCTGAGAAGACGGCTGTATGGACACTTGTAAAATCAATTCCTAATAGGCAGCTGAGACCGTTACCTGTCCTAACATACATAAAAACTGCATTAGTGTAATAGAGCTGCGAACAATGCGCAAGATCATTCGTAATGTCCCCGCTTGTTAAAGTCAGTAAAGTTTTGAAGTTACACGCTCGATTATGGCTCGGTGGAGTCGCGTTTGTGTTTGTGAGTATTGAGGACATCAAATACTAGCGTGCTAATGATTAAGTGCCGTCCCCTGGCATCTGTAATCAGTGTCTGGCGTAGATTAAAAAGCTCGCTGCACTCTCTGTCTGTCAGCTGTCTTGACTCTACAGCTGTCATTTCCCAACACACAAAAACGCCCTGCTATATAATGACTGCACCACACCGGGCCTCTCTGGCCTTCTGCCAGTGTGTGTGTGTTGTGAGTGCATTTGTCCTTTAATCTGATACCTTTTGATCTATCACATGCTCGTCAATCGCTACAGAGGAAAAGGGGATTATTTATTTTGTTCTTACAAAGAAAGACTGGAAGACATTGTCCGTTACTTTATGTTCCTCCTTCACTTTCTTCTTTCATCTAGCAGGACCAAATGTTCTGGAGGATTCTTGAGGGATGTTTACCTGTTCGCCTTGAAGCTGAACTGGTACACGATGCATCTAGAGATGCTTTGGTTTTGTGATTTTTTTTTTTTTTTCACTTTTTTGAAAGAACCCAACTCCGACAAAAAAAAGAAGAAACTCTGTGCTTTTTGGTTTCACACTGCACTTGGCCATAAAAGTGGACTTTTTTAAAATGTGTTTGTATGTGTGTGTGTATAGTGTTATTTTAGAATGATTTATATACTATTTTAGTATCCGTTCATATACTGTATTTGTTAATATATAATTGTTGAATTAGCTTTCATTTTTATATTTTTTATTTTTCATTTTAATTTTAGTTGAAGTTTTAGTAATTATATATTTATATATATATATATATATATATATAGCTCTAGTTTATTTAAGTTTTATTCATTTTAGTTTCCAAGGCAATAAACTAATTCTCACTATAATTCTCAAGTTCAAGTTATCTAATATTTATATTTTAGGTTTATTTCAGATTTATTTAAATTATTTTCAATGAATGAAGATGATATTTATTTATTTATTTATTTATTTGTTGTTTGTTTTACTTTGTTTGTTTGTTTGTTTGTTTTAGTTAATGATAATGAATTCAGCTAATTCAGCTCCCATTTGTTCCACTTCCTGAGGCCATAAAAAGTATTAAAATATATGTAAATTAATATATATATATATAAATGGATATTTAGTATCTTCTTTTAATAACTTAAAAAAAAAAAAAAGAATAGATAATTGACATGTAATAATCACACCACCTCTCAAGATGGTCTCAGTTGGGTTCACTTTAAAGGGCACTGAGGTCATTTGAAGCATTCATATATTCACATATGCCAGATGTCTTCATGCTTTACGTCTCCATTTCTTCCTTCTAGTTCCATTTTTTACTTACTGTTTAAAACAAGGCTCTGTCCATCAGTGTAACCTGTGTGTGTGTGTGAGTGTGAGAGAGAGAGAGCTTATATCAGTCTGCAGAGGGATAGTATCTCTCTGCTGAAAGCTGGACACACACCTGTGCCCAATGAGCACACACAGACACAGACCCGCTCTTTTAGAGGGTGGACACCAGATTCTTTAGTGAAGCTGTAATAATACAGACATTTGCCCTCACAATCTCTCAGACCTTCTGTACTATGACAGAGTATCAGAAAGCACATAAACATTTTACTTTCAAAGCACCAACACAGACACCGTTTACACCTGGTAAACTTTCCTGGCTTTGAAAGAAAATTACCATCCGATGTAGTCACGAAATTAGAGATCCGCCCTCCTAAACACGATCACAAGCGGTCACAGGAGACGCTTCTAATCTGCTACAGCACCTGTGTGTACTTGAGGTAAACTGACTTCAAACACGAACTGTGTCCAAAACCTGAAAAATCATGCACAGGGACACTCATAACCAGCCTAAATTTAGATTTATGTATTTAAATTTCCATCCATTTGGAATGCATTAACATGAACAAACGAATAACCTTAATGTGATGCATATTTGCCAGTCAGACATAAATGAAACGGGTAAGAAACAATCAAAATTCATGGCATAATTTATATGAATAATTTGCATATATTTGATTTTATTTAAATAAGCATATTTAAGCTCAGAATCAGCATAAATCTGTTAAAGGGTTAGTTCACCCCCAAATGAAAATTCTGTCATTAATTACTCACCCTCATGTCATTTTAAACCCGTAAGACCTTCGTTCATTTTCGGAACACAAATTAAGATATTTTTGATGGAATCTGAGAGCTCTCTGACCCTCCCATAGACAGCAACGCAACTGTAATATTCCCAGGTCCAGAAACTTAGTAAGGACATCGATAAAATAGTCCATGTGACATCAGTGGTTCAACTTCAATTTTGCGAAGCTACGAGAATATTTTTTGTGCGTAAAGAAAACATGAATAACATAATTTATTTAACAATTCTTCTCCCCCGAGTTACCGTCTTCCGCCATTTTGGAGAGTACCCAAGAACGTAATCAATGTAATCAGCGTTGTTTACTTTCAGGGGAGAAAGTGCGCGCATGAACATAATCTGCGTAATCAGCGTTGTTTACGCTTAGGGGAAAGCGTGCGTATGCGTTGTGATACTCTCCAAAATGACGGAAGACTAATTCGGGGGAGAAGAGTTGTTGAATAAAGGCATTATTTTTGTTTTCTTTGCGCACAAAAAGTATTCTCGTAGCTTCGCAAAACTGAATGTGTTTGTACGTTTCTGGACTTTGGAATATCACAGTTGCGTTGCTGTCTATGGGAGGGTCAGAGAGCTCTCAGATTCCATCAAAAATATCTTAATTTGTGTTCTGAAGATGAACGAAGGTCTTACGGGTTTGGAACGACATGAGGGTGAGTAATTAATGACAATTTTCATTTTGGGTTGAACTAACCCTTTAATTGTGAAAGCAATTACATTTACAATTAGCATCCTTAAAATATGGCTAAAATATATTTATGGAAAAAGCGAGATTTAGTTAAAATGTATGAGATTAAAAAGAAAAAAGTGATTTATGGAGGATAAATGTATAAACCATTATTGTGAAAAAAATCTTACCTAATTCTCAACAGTTTCATTTATGTATGACTACAAATAAGCATCACAAAGTTTGATAAAACCGTAATCCAAATGGATGAAAATTTTATATGCAACTCATACAAATTTTCTTAAACATTTTTGAGTGCAATGTAAGGTGGAAGAATGCATCCAATATTTTTGGTTTCTGTGATGGAAAGGATAAAAATGGCATTGGCCACATTTCCTTTCTTTTTCCTATTATGATTCAATTTTTTACTGAGAAATAAGCACTGTAGACAGTTAATATTCACTTATCTCTAAAGCTCACATGGATTTGTACTCACTCATTAAATTTGATGTTGTGGGGCTCTGAAACCAGTTTCTTACAAAAAAAGTCAGTAAAATGCAAAAATGACTCTGAAAAGTGAAGTTATGTCTGAAAACCTGCAGGGTCCTTCCTTGGTTATCCTCTTTGGTTATTATATTAATAGACATTAATATAGTTTAAACGTGTTTTTGTGGCCAGTGTGTAATCATGTTAATGGTGCTGATACATTAAGTTATTGATCTCTGTATAACATGAATGTGTTTGGAAATGATAGTCTTGTCACTGAAAAACAAGTCATTTATTCCTCCTCTTGGCAGAGCGTCCCGTCCCCCCGCCACATCTGAGAACTTCGGGCTTGTCTTCTCCTGCATGGAAGCAATAAAAGGATCATTTGTACCCCTTCCAAATTTGTCAGAGGGTGTTGTCATTAGTGTAGAGGTCTGTGGGCCAGACTAGGCTGCTGGTTATTAAGGCTAAATGGGTCAAGGAGCCTGATGGTGTATGTTATGAATGAGAATAAACATTTCTGATTGTACATGGTCTTTTGTTGTCAATATCTAGCATGATGTGTGAAATCTGATGCTATTAGATGAAAACAGAACTTGAGCTGAATAAAGACAGTGTAGTCTGCTGTAGAGGTGCTGTATGCTGAATTGAATTTGTCATAATTGACAGATTTTGCAACATCAGCAATGTTATTGAACTTAACTGAATCAACATTGAACAGCAGAATTGGGATTTGTCTCATATTTGATGAAGTTTGCATCATTGATTCTGTTATTTTCCTCTTAATTAATGTGAAGCTGCTGTCAAACTACTTGTATTGTATTAAAGCGCTATATAAATAAAGGTGAACTTGAACTCTTCTAGATTAAAAGAATTAGCATTTTTCTTATTTCAGACACCACTGAAAGTAAAAGACAAGTCTGCAGCAGGGCCTTCTGGGAAGTCTCCCAGCACTCCCAACCTGAGTGAGGTCAAAAGCAAACTTTCATCAGCAGCTAAAGAGGTACATCTTCCCTTTCACATTGATATTTGTCTCTTTGCTACATGTGAATGCATTTATTTTCTGTAATCACACACATGCTTTAGCCCTGACATACATAAATGCAAACAAACACACACACATGCTGTGTGTTAACAGCAATAAGTACGCCGACTTAGCAGATGATGAGGTGGTCAAATGTTAATGAGGTGTCTGAGTTAATAAAGGCCGGAGGGGAATGACCAGCTATATGACATCATCATATCAGGATTATCCAGTCTTTCTGAGTCCACCTGCTCACTTCCTCAATCAGTTCCCAAATGCACCCCTGACCACTAACCCTCTTCATCCTCAGATCCATAAGAGCCTCCTGATCTTTGTGAGTCTCTCATTACATTGCTATGTTTTTGAAACCAGTACTGATCCTTTAAATGTTAAATGACTGCATGCAAACACACCATGCAGTGAGATGCTATAAGATTTTTTTCATAATGTGAATTTACCGCATGTGTGATATGCTGTCATTCATTGTTCAGTTTGTCAAAACGAACTACACAAGGTATAAACTATGAGTCTATAATAAATATATGCAAAACTCTCTTGTCTCATCAGCACCACCTACATTATTGTTCAAAAGTTTAGGGTTGGTACAGTTTTTTTTTTTAAAGAAGTCTTATGCTCACCAAGGCTGCATTTATTTGATCAAAATACAGTAAAAAGTAATATTGTGAAATTATTCAAATGTAAAAAATGTATTTCTATTTCAATATATTTTAAAATGCAGTTTATTCCTGTGATGCAAAGCTGAATTTTCAGCATCATTACGCCAGTCTTCAGTGTCACATGATCCTTCAGAAATCATTCTAATATGCTGATTTCTGCTCAGAAACATTTCTTATTATTATCAATGTTGAAAACAGTTTTGCTGCTTAATCTTTTTGTGACTGATTATTGATTATGAAAATGACATTTTTTCAGAATTTTTGATGAATAGAAAGATCGAAAGAAGAGCATTTATTTGAAATACTCTACCATTTAAAGGTTTGGGATCAGTGAGATTTTTAATATTTTTTAAAAGAAGTTTCTAATACTCGTCAAGGTTGTATCTGTTTGATGAAAAATATAGAAAAAATGTGTTATCCATGTGTTAAATGGATAAAAAGTGATAGTTTTTTGATAAATGCTGTTTATTCATATACAGGTGCATCTCAATAAATTAGAATGTCATGGAAAAGTTCATTTATTTCAGTAATTCAACATAGATTCTCTATGGCTGGAGTAATAATGCTGAAAATTCAGCTCTGTGTCACAGAAATAAATTATATTTTAAAGTATATTAAAAGAGGAAACCAATATTAGAAATTGCAATAAAAGTTTCACAAAATCTTACTGTTTTTTTTTTCTCTGTATTTTTGATCAAATAAACACAGCCTTGATGAGAATAAGAGACTCCATTGAAAAACATTAGAATCTGATCCCAAAATTTTGTTAGTGTAGATATCTTGGTAAGATTATAAATGTATTTGCTGTCACTTTTGGTCAGTTTAATGTATCCTTGCTGAATGGAAGTATTAATTTCTTAAAAAAAAAAAAAAAAAATCTTACTGACCTCCAGCTTTGAATTGTAGTGCACATACTTAGGGACTAGTCAACTATTGTCTTTGACAATCAACAGCAGGTTGAAAAAACTCTTAACATTCCCTATAGACATCTCTACGCTAGTTGTACACTTCTTAAAAACGCCAGAAACAGAAGAGCGAGATGAAATAGTATGTTGTGCCGTAATATCTTGTTTAAAACTGGAAGGATACAGCGGATGGATTGTGTTGAGCAGATATGATGATTTGTGTCAGTGTGATTTCATTCGGTCTGCTGTAGATAAGGGGAACTGGAATTACTGTAAAGGCCACAAAAAATGTGAGTTCACTGAAGTGCGTCCAACACCCAGCGACTCACCCTGTTCATCACGGCAGCAGTGCTCTGGCTTCCAGTCAGGATGATCTCAACACTTAGCAGAGAGACACAAGTGATGAAAAGGGCCATTTCATTTCTACAAAAATATGTTTCTCTGAAACAGGGGAAGCCACTTCCAAAGACGGAACAGAAGTTTGAGAACTACGCTAGAAGCTCTTTCAAGATCTCTGATAAACAAGTGAGTATCGCTGCTTTCATAAAGCACTGTCACCCTCTGGCTGGAGTATTTCTAGTGTTCGCACGTTGCGTAAAAAGCATGTATGGCCCCGACAAAATTTATCAACACTTCTAAGAGGTCTTATATGTAAGAAATGTCCACTTAAAAGATTAAGATGCTTAGGCTCAGAAGATGAGACATTCCTCAGCCGGTGAAGAGATACAAAAGCATCAGGCTTGAAATGTACTCTATTATGCGAAGGGAAACTTTACTATGTCCAGTTCAACATAGTTATATGCGTTCTTGCATTACTGGACCGTAACAAACCTCAAGGCAGTGTTGTTTTAGTATTATTGATCATACTAATCTAGTTTTTATTTTATATATTTTTGTGTTTTTTTTTTCTCAGTGTTAGTTATTTGAGTACATTATTTGAGTTAGTTATTTAGTTCATTATCTAAATGTAAATAGGACATTTTTATTTGGCAACTAGCTAAAATAATAAAAAATTATATTTTATTTCAGGATTTAGTTAATATTTGATGCTTTTTGTTTTCATTTTAATTTTAGTTAAAGTTTTAGTAATTTAGTTGTCTCTATCATTTTTATTAATTTAAATTGTCAATATATTTTATTAATTTTTATTTCATTTTTGTACATCAAATGAAACTAAATAAAACATACAAATAAGTTTCAGTTTATTATGTTTTTTTTATTTTAGTTGACTATTATTTAAAGTAATGAAAATTTTGTTTTTATGGTTTAGGTTTAGTGGCCACTTACACAAACTAAAGACGGGTTTCAAAGTGCATGTTTTTAAAAACGATACTGTTATTGTCTCCGTGTAAACGACAAAACTGTAAATTTGTGAAAATGCTGACGTTATGTACATGCATATTATGTGTTTCTGCGCAAGCATACCTATACATCGCCAACTACTGGCCTGGCATGTATAATACATCATTTTTAGTCAGTTTCATGGATACGTGTGAACGGGCGTTGTATGTGAAACCTTTCAAAAATGCAAACAATATTCGCACATCATTGTTAGGTAAATATACCATCAGTTACTTATAATAACCCTACCATAAGAGGGCGATAGGGTTACCTTGAAATATTTGTGCCAATATAGGTGTCATTATTCAGGTCACTAGTTTAAAAAGTTAAATAATCACATCTACATTCAATTTGAGTATATTTTAGGCCTAAGCATCTTCTGTCTTAGAGGGTCGGTTGGGGGTGGCATACTGAGATCTTCCTGCCGCTCTCTTTTTTATCAGCAAATGAAACATGTACTGATTGACCTCTTGGCGTTCAAAAGAACAGGAGGGAGCTGTCATGCCTGACATCTTTAGCTGTGATTTAAATCCCTCCTTCACTCATTCCTCTCTCGCTGTCTCTTTTAGTCTAGAGCTTTTTTTGCATTCATATGTGTCAGGTTGGGTGTTGACCTGAAATATTGCAGTAGTCTAAAGCAGCCCTCACAAATGGCCACGTTTGGGTCAAAAGAGAAAAATCTCTCTTTTTAACTAAAGCGCACTATGATGTCTGCTGTAGCTCCTCTTTTGTCAGCATGAATTACACACGAGAGAGTCCAAATGTCTGTGTGTGTTAGTGGTACCAACGGGGTGGATCTTACAAAAACGCATCCAGGTCTCATTGTACCCTAATATTTTTTCTTTGTGATCTTATTTTTATTAATTTAAGCATATTTTAAATTTAAATTCATTTATTTGGCAGACACTTTTATCCAAAGCGACTTACATTCGAGGTTTAAATATTTCTCAGTTTCCTGGGAATCAAACCCATGACTTCGGTGTCTGCTTTTTGAGCTGCAGAAACATACATTGAAACACATGACCCTTTTTTCATTAGCCCTAAAAATCAGTTTGTATGTTATACAAGTACTACATCATGCCATTATTTGTTTTATGGCATTAAAGCAGTGGAAATTGGTTTTCTTTTGCATTTACATTCTCCTGCTTTATGGTCCCAGTATTTGCTGTTCCAAAACCTAGTGAGCTGCATATCTAGACAGCATTTTAAAAAGTATTGTAGATACTACATATTTTGATAGCCAATATCAGTATCATAGCGGATATAGGTCTGTAGGAAATCACACTATTTAATTTAAAGATAGTAAATTATACGTGCCTAACAGTTTCTGTATTTATTTTAATTAGGAAACAAATGTAATTAGAAATCTGTTTAAATCTGTTTGAAAATGTAATAAAGAATAAATCTGTAAAATAGACAGATTTATGCTTTGCATAGCAACTTATTGATTCTGTAATCCTATTATACTGTAGTATTTTCCACAGGACTGTACTCAGGCACAGGGTTCTCAGCACTGTCAAAATAGAAGTCCCTCTTCTGACACTTATTATTGTCCTATAAACAGAAAAACGTATCGACCAATGTTTCCCCTTATTTTAAATGATCACCATTTGCTTTACTGCTGTTACAGAAGAAACAGCTTTTCCAAAAGACGTTGAACGTGTTGATTATAAATATACTTACATTTCATTTAATACCTAAAACTATTACAACTTTTTGTATCCAATTTTTGTGTTTCTTATTTTTTATACTCATCATATTGTTAGCAATTCAACTGAGTCAAGTCTCCTGTGCGCTCGCTTGAGGAGCACTATTTAATATGTGTTGCTGCCTATGAAGACGGTTTCAGATCACTTCTGAGGTCCCATTTCAGTTGGGATGCTGCCTTCGAAAGTATGCAGCAAGGCAGCTCACTAGGATTTGGAACAGAGTTTAGATGTTTTTTTGTTTTGGTCGGTAATGAGTTATGAGCTATTTGATGCATTGCGCCCTGTGAGTCTGTTCTAGAAACAAGGCTGGAGCGTGACAGACTTTGCAGCGCAGGTGTCCTCTCAGATGTACAACGGGTGGCGCATGTATGTATGTGTGTGTGTGTGTGTGTGTGTGTGTGTGAGAGAGTGTGTTTTCAAGCAAAAACGACTTTGGGAGCACAGCAGGCAAAGAGGTGTGAGACATGTCTTTGTCAGAGAGAGGCACTAGTCATACCCTCTGGTATGTACAACGACTGCACCCCCGTGTGTGTGTGTGTGTGTGTGTGTGTGTGAGAGAGTGTGTTTTCAAGCAAAAACGACTTTGGGAGCACAGCAGGCAAAGAGGTGTGAGACATGTCTTTGTCAGAGAGAGGCACTAGTCATACCCTCTGGTATGTACAACGACTGCACCCCCTTCCTCTGGACTCGGCGCTGTAGTTATACCCCAGACGCACCACTAATGTGGAGCTTTTCGTCCAAACTGACTCACACGGCTCTAATTATTAAGCATCCAAATGAGTCGCTACATCAGAGAAACTCCGTTCCAGCTTCACCAACTCATCCTTTTCCCCCTTCCCTCTCTCTCTTTCTCTCTCTCTCCCCATTTGTTTTCTTGCAGGTGATCAAAGACCTTTGGAACTTTTTACAAACACTAAAAAAGTAATGGCTGCTCTGCGCTCCCCTTCCTGTCCCGCTGCAGCAGAAGTCTGGGCTGAGCCAGTAACGGCACTTCAGCTGTGCGATCTGGCCTCTTCCTGTCTTAACGCGATCCGCCTGCTCTTCTCTCACTTTAAAGATGGATAGAGCAGAAGGAGCAATGGCAGAGATATCATGCTTCATGTTTTATATATGTTTTTTTTTTTAATTATGGATTTTTTTGTCAAGTCCACAATGGTTTCTTAGAAGAACATTTAATGAGATGTTGTGCTAAGGCAGTTATAATTTAAAAAGCGAACTAAGGGTGAATCTCTCTAAATCTTATCAAGAACTTGCGCAGGTCATATTTAATCTCAAAATTCTAAAGAAAGTATATTTTGCATTAAGTAAATTAAGCCTGTTTTGGACTGAACAAATGTTTTTCATTATGATTTTTTAAAAGACTTAAACCCATTTCCCCCAATTATCATAATGCACAAAAAAAAGTAATGTGGGGGGAATGTAAAGTATTTATACATCATGGATTGATTTGTGTTATAGAGATTACAATTTATGGTGATTAAAACATATGGTAATCATGGTAATGAAAAAATATACAGTATAAAATAAGTTTAATTGTATTAATCATCATTAAAAATAATGTGGGAAAAAAAGTGATATTAAAGCAATAATGTTAAAGGTCATTAAAATAGGCTTTGTTTTTTTAATGCAAAATATAATTTCCTTTATTTTCTTTAGCTTTTTGGGTAAAATTTGTTCCTGGGTGTTTTTGTGAGCATTACTCTTAAATAGAAAACCAATGGTGCTGGTTTATTATAATTTTATTTAATTTTTTTTGTGAGGCCATTTAAAAAAAGAAAAAGAAAAGAAACAACAACACTTGAACGTTATCTTGAGCGAAATAGTTTTTTCACTACCAGCCCAAGACCAATTTGCTTCTTCTTGTCTATATTTGAAACCATAATCACTGTAAATCGTCCCCTTAATTTCTTCATATGAAGATGGCAGCTGAAGTGTAATAATGTTAAAGATTCAGTCACATTCTGAGTGTTCCATCTGATTGAAGATTCCGTCTAGTTCACAGTATTCTGTGCAGCCCTCACGATTCTGCCTTGCAGCAATTCCAAAGGCCTTCACCGTTTAAACTTTACAATTATCTTAAGTGCTATAGACTCTCCCATAAAAATCCTCTTGAGAAGCACGGCCAGAATATTATACCTTGTTAAAAAGATGAATGTTAGTCCATGGTTTAGGTAATTAAATATGATTAAAAAAAAAGACGTTTCGTTGATTTGAAACTTTAAAATAATGCTTTCGCTATTTTATGTTTTTGTCATATCAGTTGTTTTTATTTTACTTTCACTTAGCCATTTTAATTTGTTAGCACTAATAAATAAAACCCTTAAATATATGTAGGTGTTTTTTGAAAGCAGAAGAATCAGTCCTGTTTTAATTAGTTTTGTTCTGTGAAATTGGTGATTCCCCCCCCCCCCACAAAGTATATGCTGCAAACAAGCAGTGCATTTCAACAAAACTATATTGTTCCATTATGATCAACAAAATGTTGATGTCGATTTCATTGGGAGCAATTTAATTTTGTTGCATCATTCTGCTCGCTTGCAGTGTTAGATTGGTTTCCTTTCTTGGATGGAAATGGAAGTAATCCAGCTTTAGTTCATTTACAAATAACAGGTGTGAATTGATTGATTTAATGCTTTAATTGAGTATTACACCTACATGACCTCTGAATGTTGAATCAAAAGCAGCTCTGATGAAGTAAATGTTAAATGATGCTCGAAATTATTGTAACACTCGCCAACAAAGACCATACAGAGCACAAATTCACCGTTTTGTTTGACCTCAACAATCATTTCTCCTGCACCTGAAAGTCTCCAACCTGTTTGCCCACCTGAGGTGTTCACCTGATTTGCTTGTTTCAAGAAACAGAGTTTTCTGTTCTATCATTGTCTGAAACCGAAAGAATAAAAGTGTCAGCTGGAACATGCTGTTGCATTTTCTTTTTGTGCTTGCTTCTTTTTCCGCTTGCTTCTTTTTTCCTCAATGTTTGAAGCGATTTGTGGGAAAATGTATGGTGTTGATCAACATGTTTCCTAAACTCTGGAACCTGGTCCAGTTCATGGCGTCTCTGGAACGGGCTAAACAAACATATGCTATGTGTTGCCATAAAATAGAACTTTCTGAATTATACATACCACTTGATTATTTTACAGCTCTCATTTTTCAGATGCTTTTTGAGGAAAGTAAATTTTATAAGAGAAGAAAGTTACATTCATCAGCAGACTGTCTCAAATGAAGAGATCCATCACAAACTCTCCAAAAGCAAGGTACTTTTACTAGATTTTGTTTTACTTGTATGATTCTTAATGTCTTTGTAGACGGTTTTGTTTGATCCTTCCTTCTAAATTCTGTCCTCAGGTTGCTTTGCTAGATCAGTTTGGAAATTATTCTTCATGCATTCACCACATGGTGGCGATAATGGCTTATGATAACAGTGTATTTTGATTTATGGAACGTTCCTTCCCTCTATACTGTAAGGGACAATTAATCAGCCTCTCACCTGGATGATGCCCCTTCATTATGCCTGCTGACACTTACCTACTTCCTGTTGTCAGAGTCTACAGCAGGAAGTGAGCTCAGCAGACAGGGTGTGTGTGAGGGGGGGCAAAACTTGAAGTATTACTGTGTGGAATTCCCCGTTTCCCAAGTGTGAGGAATTTCAGATCAGTGCACACTCCAGGCAGAATCAGGGATGAAGGAGAACGTACAGATATTCCACCTGAAGCTATTCCAATCAGCTGTTGGTAGGAATTAAGAAATATTTTTTTCTGATTCAGCTGTCTGACTGAAGTGTCCAGTCATGACTGCGCAAACAACAGTGTCAGCAAGATCATGTTGGGAACAGAAATCATTTTGATCCCATTTAATAATGGGACAGATGCAGCGGTCCTGCTTGTTGCACGTTAGTGTTTAACTGTGCAAACGTCAGCTCTTTAAGTTCTCTGTGTTCAATAGAAGACGAAGGATTTATCAGACCCTTTTCCATGACCCATGATCTTAGATTATTCTGGTTTTGTGCTTTTTAGGACGTATATACTGTAAGAAACTGCCATTTAAGTGTAAATGTTTTCCTAGCTTTTTTCAAGTAAATCCTACTCTACTTTTTCAATATAGGCCTATCCAAGATTTCAAAAGCCCCTGAGATTATTTTTTTTAAGCTCAGTGGACTTTAAATGCAAGTTTCCTTAAAAATATTTGTATCTATGACCTTTCAGGTGCATGTTTATGAGTGGGTTTTCAGAAATCACCCCCAAATCCTCTTGTCATTTGAAAACTCCTATGATTTCTTATTTAAAAAAAAAGTCATAGCATATGTGTGATAGTTATGCATTAGGTTGGGATTTCAACTCTTGTTCCTTTGTACACTAAATTATACTTTTAGTTCAATCCACCTAATTCAAAAGAATTATGAAGTGTTTTTGTTCTTTGGTTTCGTCTTTTCTTATTTAGGCATTGACTGCCACTGGTGCCACCTTGTAATAAAATGAGTGGATGATGCTCCTGCATACAGGTAAGAACAACAGGTGTAGAATTGAGATTTTCTTGACATACTGAATGTTTTAAAGAAAGCGGTATGAGATCTCAACATCATGCAGCTTTTTTGTATGTATGTAATACTCTGATGTGCAATATACAACCAGAGTTGCATGGGAAAACTGTGTCACAATGAAATGCACTCAACTTGACCTTCCATCCATTGTGATGAATGAACTGGAAGCGATGTCGTCCGTCATCTTTAACGTCTCCTTCTTGACTCATTATTTGATCAGGCTGCCAAAAATAAGGGAATTTTTGCACAAAATTGGATTAAAGATCGCAAAATATCAGTATTAACTTCTGAGATGGTAAATGAGTTAAGCATGCAACATAATGAGTCATGTGAAATCAATGTAGTGTGCTGCTGTTTGAAATGTTTATGGTTGCATACAGCATACTTTCGCATACTAGTTTCTTTTATGGCTACATGTGCTCAATTGACTCCCATCTCTTCCAAAACCTAGCAAGCTGCTTTTGTAGGCATCATACACATCACACATACACAAACGGGCCTGAATTTAAGATTTGTGTATTTGAATTGCATATATATTTTCCAACCATTTGGATTACACATTAACATAAACTAATATGATGCATTTTTAGTCACAAATAAGATTTGTGTATGACTGAAGAACAGATAAGATTGCGGCAACAGTAATAAACTAAAAATGTGTTTTAAATTTTAAATATACAATAACCAGGTTTGTATATTTATCACCTAAAAATCAAATTTGTTTCAATCCCATACAATTAATTGAATATTGCTGGTATATATTTGCATTTTCTTACATTTTACCTGAATAAATTTAATGATTTGAACAAATGTATGCAATTTGGAAATATGATTATTTAAAATAAACTTAAATATATGTATATAGTTCATAATAAACCATGATTTTCTCAGTGCAAATAAACCATGTTTTTATAGAGCAAATATTTGTATATAAATGTTTCGTTTATGTATGACTGGCAAATGTGCATCGCAATAAGTTTATTTGTTTTTGTTAAAACTCTGTAATCCAAATAGATGGATGTTTTATGTGCAATACAAATACATAAATCTATTTTTTATTTAAATTCCGGTGTGCTTAGGTGCAAAGGTCATGCAGTACAAATATCCTACCTTCTAAAATACTTTCTTTTTGGATAATGCATCCAAATTAATTGTAATGTCAATTCTAAATGTATTTAATTCAATACCAAATGTAACTAAAAATAATTCAATCTAATTAGAAATGAACTATATTACCCAGTAACCAAAAAAAAAACAAAAGTATATATAATGTCATTTTACGCTTATTAGGACACTGATTTTAGCTTAGCAATATTCAAAACAAACCTCTATAAAGATAATACATTTTGCATCAGGAGGGCTATTTTTATAATGCAAGTTGTTGCCTGCACAGTGCGTTCCAGTTCAGTTATCATGCTCCCTTAAAAGATAGCTGTCCATGTAGGCAGTAGACAGCTTACTAGGTTTTGGAACAGAGCCTAAATCTCACAGTAAGTTGCTCCAGTTAGTGCTCTATATGGAAAGATGCAGCGCTGAACCTGTCTGATATACCTGGGCCAGGTAAAACAAAGAATTCATGCTCACGGTGATAAAACAGACTGCTGAAGTGCAGAGGAGACAGATTTGTAAACATTAACTGTGGGAGAGTAAAGGAATGGCAACTTGGCATGTTTATGGGGAACCCTCCGGGCAAAAACTGGTTGGATCAAGGCTGATTAAATGTTTGACGTAGCTTCAGTTTCAGCTGTCATAAGCTTGGCAGTCTCATTTGGGTCCTCAGAGCCGTGATAATGAGTGATTGAGTTGGACCTGGACACCAGTATTCATCAGAACATGGGTCAAGCATTAGTCTATATGCCAATTTATCTGCACTCACATTGTGTGAAGTACAGACCAAAAATTAAGTAGTTGTTCACTGGTACTTGTCCACTTACAGGTCATGCCAAGTTTGACATCAATGATGCCGAACGCCATTGTGACTTGTGACTTATTGTGTTGGTGCAAGTTTAAAAATGTGGCAGTGTAAATAAGCTATTCCTGCAACATTCCTGTAGCTCAAAGAGTAGAGCATGGCACTAAAAGTGCCAACTCGAACCCAAAATCATGGGTTTTATTCTCAAGAAATGCATGAACTGATAAAATGAATACTTTCAGTGCAATGTAAGTTGATTTGGATAAAAGTATCTGCCAAATGCATAAAGGTAGAGATACAGCAGAAGGCAAGATTTTAAGTCAATAAGTGAAAATCTGTCAATGTAAACACTGTGATTTATTCGTGAAACCATATCAAATGGGTTGGATTTCCTTTTATCTTGGGTAGTTTTGTTCTGGTTTTTGAGGTCCATGCTGGCATCTGTCAATTGACAAGATTCAACCAAGATGCAGGTGAACTTGCAATAAAACCATAGAATTTAATTGAACTGGACCTTTAATGTAACGAACAAAGGTTTCTTTTGCATATTAATAAGAACTAATAAGGATTTAACCATTGCTTTTCCACAATCAAACCAGAATAGACCTATGATTTTTGGTTTTGCAACGCACCGGTAGAAAACCACATCACCTCATGTGAGAAGAAGCGAGGTGAACTGAAACTTTTTGAACTGGTTTTTCTCTCTCTCACTCTCTTTTGAAACTCTTTTGACCTTGATTACTGGCAGCTTTTCATTTTTACAAGGTTTTTGGGGACAAACGCAGTACAACAATACCGTACAACATTTTACAGTCCATTCTTTTTTGCTGACCAGAAAAGTCTAACCTAATTTATCATCTCCGCAACATATATTCTATTGGTTCATTAGTAGCAAACTAAGCTCTTAACTGTTTCATTAACATTGAGAGCTTGTGGAACTGTTCACTTTCCCACAGTCTCCGGCTACGCCTGTGCTGGCGTGAACTTTCTCTCAGGTAGCATGGGCCTCTGGAGGAACACATTGCATAATCCTTTCCCCATCGATGGAAAAAAAGAATGCCTGAAGTATGAGATGGAGGGACTAATTATTCTGCAATATCACACTGGAATCTGCACTGAAGCAGGGTCGGTGCGAACGTGGCCTCGATTTGGAGGTGATCAGTTTGTGGCACTGCTGAGGTGGTATGGAGGCCCAGGTTTCTTTGACAGTGGCCTTCAACTCATCTGCATTTTTTGGTCTCTTGTTTCTCATTTTCCTCTTGACAATACCCCATAGATTCTCTATGGGGTTCAGGTCTGGTGAGATTGCTGGCCAGTCAAGCACACCAACACCATGGTCATTTAACCAACTTTTGGTGCTTTTGGCAGTGTGGGCAGGTGCCAAATCCTGCTGGAAGACTTAA